ATCACTTCGTGTAAAATCTTAGACTTAAAACCACTAATTCAGGTTCAAATTTAAAAACCATTACAAGATTTAATTTAGACTTGGAAATCGTATATAATGTAAAAACATGAAAATCTAAAAGTGAAAGTGTGAATATTGATTAGAGAAATCTCAATAACATTATCTACTGTAAAAAATTTTTGATAATAGTCAGTATCTTTGAAGTTCTTCCTTATAAATTTAATATCGCGCCCCAAATATAAATCAATGCACAGTTATCAACAAGATAATAATGCAAAGCATCATTTAGCTTTGTGATCAAAAACCTAAATCAAATTTCGAACATAAATTGGATGGCCGTAATAATGACAATAGTCATAAACAAACTGTGCTTTTATGGCATACAACCTGCAATTTCAAAAGAGTGACACACCGATGTCCCAAATTTAAATAGAAAAAATAAAATAATTTGTTATTGTTACTATTATTTTATCGATGTTATCAATTTGTATTTTCAAATAATGGTATTGAAAGTAATAGCCTTAAATAAATAAGAATTACCTTAATTTTAAATAAAGTTTGACTTGATCTGATTTAATAGGTATGTATATTTATATTTGAATGTCGCACATCTATATGCTTATATGTGTATGTGTGTACATGTTACATTTTTTAGTGCCCCCACCCCCCCGCCTCGAACGAGTAGCATCCCTTTAGTTTGTGCACAACTTAGACTGCATATACCTATAGACAGGGCTTTAGATAATTTCCCTGAAGCAAAAACGAAATCATCTACGTAATAAATCATCTATCTAAGCTATGCTAGTATGATATATGATATGATATGATATACAATCAGTATTTTCTATATATTTTCAAAAGAGTAACACACTGATGTTCCAAATGTGTTAAACTGTTCTAATGTTCGACATTAAAGAATATGCGAAAATATTTAATTGTTAGAAAACAAATTCAATTGATTAAATTGCATATTTAATTATATTACCGAACCAGCAGTAGCTAAATCGCTTGCCTTGCCTTGCCTCGTCTCTAGCCTCTCCCACTATCACGGGGTATAATCCATAATTAAATGAATATTTTGAAAATTATAATTTCACAGAATGTATTTAAAGTTTAATTGAGATGTTAATATTGATCATTTTAATTAAGTGAATAATATGACTTGATTCCACATTATTAACGTACATATGCTCGACATTTCAACTATTTGTCAGCGATTTTGAATGATTATCTTTTACTTCGCGTGACATCAGAGTGGACAGTTATCTTTGCTTCACTAAACTCTTGGATTTTCAGTTCACGCACTATACACATGACGTGTTTAGTAGTGTACATATGTATGTGGTCTGAAGTGCACCGTCCCTCTATTCCTAAGTCCGTGGTCTAACCAATATACTTTCTAAACAATAAATGTATACGTACAATTTATGTGTAACGTCAATGTAAATAAATAATTGTTCTCTAAGCATTCGTATCTTTATTATTTATTTAAGTGAAATAATTTTTATGAAAATAATTAGCCAAACACTTTTTACAGAATGTTACTAGTATCTCAATATCAAACTAAAATAAATTTTGCAAAATTATAATTTCCAAAATATGTTATAATGAGCACTATTTACAATTGTAAAACGTGAAACTTAATGATCGAAATATACAGGGTGTTAAAAAAAAGCAGTCAATATTTATATCATATATAGCCATAGGCTGAAAAGTCGTCTGTTTCTGAGATATAAATATTTCTGTTTGCTTGCAACATGATTGATTTTTGCTTACTTGATTGATGTTTACTTTACAGTAGATTTCATCGATACTTGTGGATCTAATTAGTAATTACACAGTTACATCAATATTATGATGATGCTAGTAAACGAAAATATTTATATTTCAGACCGTGTCCTATATGCCATACAAATACTGAATGCGTTTTTTTTAAACACCCAGTATACTTATAAAGAATATTTATTACCTTTGATATTTTAAAAAGAATATCTACTTATTCCGTGCAAATATTAACAACATATTCAAAAAATTTTGAAACTGCATACGTACTACATCCGTGTATATCATACTAGCATAGCTTATACATCTTGGCCACACGTGACGTCACGTAAATGGTTTCCAGGGAAATTATCTGAAGCTGCGTCTATAGATATATGTATGTATATGGTGTCCAAGTTTCCTCAGGTAGGTACGCCCCTGGGTCCAGGTCTGTACGTGTACGTATGTCCGCCGGATCTATCCGTGGGTTACATAGAGTCTAGCTCGATGACCAGCGAGGGAGGAACGAGCGGAGTTCGCAGCGGAGCAGAGAATGCGCAAGGTGGTGGGAGGTAGTGTAGGTAGACAATGGTGGGGATGAAAATGGTAGTGGTGGTGGTGGCGGCTGCGCCGGGTATTCGGCCTGGGCAGCCGACAATTCGGAGGATGGAGAGAGAAGGAAGATCCGAATGGAATGGAAAGGCAGTCAGGTTAGCCGTGGCGACGGTGGGAGAGGCTAGGGACGAGGCAAGGCAAACGATTTAGCTGCTGCTGGTTCGGCAAGCCACGAGTTTGAGTGCCGAGGTCCCGTTGCCCGTGCATGCACCGGGAGAGGCGTCATGAAAGCGCGCCAGTTGATCGAGTGCACCTCTCGCCGGACGAAACTTCGGTTTTACCATCGTTGATTTCACCTTTGTCCCTCTCGTTTGTCCGCTTTTGCAGCGAACGATCGACTCGCGCGTGTCCATACCCAGCTGTTGCTAGATTCTCTACAGGGAGAAGAGAACGGGATTAGGAAAGAGATTCATGGACAAAGGATACGACGGTTCTCGTGTGTTTTCCCCGCGGTTTCTCGTACAGTGATTACATGTCCTTGTCTCCGAAATGGTATCTCTGCCGCTGAACTAGGACAACGTGTGCGTGCGCTAGACGGCCGATCGAACTTGGGTTCGATGGAAATTTAAAGCTCGGTGATGCATCCTGTGATTCAGTGGTTTCTTCGGTTCCGTGATCGTACTGCGAATGGTACCTTGACATATTGATCCCGCAGGTGTGGCCTCCACGACGAAACCAAAGAGTGATCGAAACAATGAGAACTCATCCCTGTCAACTGGTAGCCGCTTTCGCTTGAACTGATAAGTTCCGCTTCGCGGCTAGCGTTTCACCTTGACGCCGCCGGAGTCATCGAGTGTGGCGGGTACGTTTGGGTTGATAGTTTGCGAGGCAGAGGTTCGGAGCGGAAATCAACCGTGCGACACGACCGAATATCTCTCGGGGTGTAGAGAGAGAGAGAAAGCCCCCCTGGGACCGTAACACAGAGTGGACAGATTTCAAATGCTTCTCACGTTCCGTACTATTTTCTATCCGCATTATAACCGCCGACGTTGACGCAGGCCGTTTACATTCCAGAAAATAGTTGAAATTATTTATCCGAGTCGAAGGGAGAACGATGCCCGAGACAAACGGCGCAGCCAAAGTGGTTTATTTACAAGTTGCGTTATAGTTCGGTTCGTTAGCTCGTCGTTGTCTCGCCTGCGCTGGAGGGTGGCATCCCTCCCGGTCATTATCCCATTCCAAGTGCTCCGACCGAGGAGAACGTTCCGCGAGGAGGAAACTCTCTCTATCCAAGGCGGCGAGGGTATTTCATTTCAGATTCCAATTAACGGGTAGACGCAACGTCGCCGTCGAACATGCCTATCGCCGCCAAACCCGGCCGTTCTTGGTGATCGAGTTCGACGACGACGGTTGATCGACGGTATGTCGAGCAGCCGCGTGTCAACGGCCAGCAACTTTCTAGTCTGAAAACTAGGAGGCACGGATTCGAAATTGTCAACGAAAGTACCCGTGCCGAGAACAGCTTTCGCAGTCATGACGGAAGGAGGAACTAGACGAACGAGAAAAAAGAAGGCCACGTGATCACCGTTGCCGTTCAGTTACCGAACACTCGATTAGGAGTAACGCTCCGCGATACGGCGGAGATCAAAGGTGACTGGCAGCCAAGCAGTTGGTTTTTGACACGGTGTGACACGACGCGACGCGACGGAACCACGGACGCAAAGGCGCAAATTACATGATTTCTCGTGATAACAGGCGGTCCGAGGGAATTCCAGTGTCGTCGATCGATCGAGGGACTGTGCGTAGCCGCGTTTTTGCTGACGGAAAAGTGTTTGCCGGCTGTTCTTAGGCAAGCAAATAGACCAGAACAGAAGAGAAAAGGGGAAAAGATTGGGGAAGGAGTCTGCGGTGGATCAAATTCGTTGCATATCGTCGTCTCATCACTTCGTTAAGGATGAAGAGCACGGCTGTCGAACACCCGAAGCCGAATTTCACCTTTTACGGCACACTACTCCTTTTTTTGACGCTGCTCGCCGAGGTGAGTGGAATGGCGACGGATAATCGTATGAATCTAGGACGTGTTAGTCGAATGCCTTTCTGCCAGCGATTCCGTGCATGCACGAGAGTGTGACACTCGAGACACGGTGTCGGTTGTTACATACATTCACTCCGTTTTGGTCTGTTTACCTGTCTCCTCCTATGCTTAGGTTTAACCCTTTTAGGCTCAAGGTAACGGTCTGCTGTTACCACTGCGAATATCCACAGCATAACGATTCATCGTTATCGTCTTGTCTGTTTTTCAAAGCGTTCTTTTCGTTTCGTTTCTCCCTTGTCGAAACTATTTGATTCTGTTATATTACAGAGCGGATTCTCTCTGCGTAGTATCACGAGAAACAAATGTTCCATGAAATCTTACAGATCTCATGGTTTCGTTGATATAAATCACACCTACATTTAACAGTCAATTTTTCAAGCCTTTAAACGATAGTTTCACACAGCGTTCAATTACTAAAATCATTTGTAACAATGTTGTAATTATTTAACTAACCATTTTTATTGTTACTACAAAAATTTCACTTGTATCACTTTGCTGAAAAAGGAATTAATTTTATGTGGCTCAAGGCAATGACAACATAGAAAATCTCAGGATTAAATATAATGGAATATTACAATATAGTAATATAAAATCTGTACCCAAACTCTATCTTACCAAATGATTAAGATAATTCAACGAAATGAAGGATAAATGCATACGAATAACAAATAATTGATATTTTTTAACAAAGAGATTGGTTTTTAAACTACTAACGATTTATATTCGTTTTGTTACTGTTATTATTACATTCCACTGTATCGTTGTTCAAATTTAAAATAACATATACTATCCTTAAAAAATTTGACTGCTTATTACTTTCATCTAATGTATTACTATTATACAATTCATCCTAAGAACATCACATTCGTCATCCGTGATGCAAACATGCATTTATACACTGGCAGCAATTGTCCATTGTTCTCCCTAAAACTATTTATACATAATTCTGACTTATCTCAATGACCCAGGTCTAGTAACCCCATTGTTGTCGCCACACTGGATATTTTCATGCAAAATAAGAAATTCTATCTGAGTTGCACCAAAAGNCCGTTGCCGTTCAGTTACCGAACACTCGATTAGGAGTAACGCTCCGCGATACGGCGGAGATCAAAGGTGACTGGCAGCCAAGCAGTTGGTTTTTGACACGGTGTGACACGACGCGACGCGACGGAACCACGGACGCAAAGGCGCAAATTACATGATTTCTCGTGATAACAGGCGGTCCGAGGGAATTCCAGTGTCGTCGATCGATCGAGGGACTGTGCGTAGCCGCGTTTTTGCTGACGGAAAAGTGTTTGCCGGCTGTTCTTAGGCAAGCAAATAGACCAGAACAGAAGAGAAAAGGGGAAAAGATTGGGGAAGGAGTCTGCGGTGGATCAAATTCGTTGCATATCGTCGTCTCATCACTTCGTTAAGGATGAAGAGCACGGCTGTCGAACACCCGAAGCCGAATTTCACCTTTTACGGCACACTACTCCTTTTTTTGACGCTGCTCGCCGAGGTGAGTGGAATGGCGACGGATAATCGTATGAATCTAGGACGTGTTAGTCGAATGCCTTTCTGCCAGCGATTCCGTGCATGCACGAGAGTGTGACACTCGAGACACGGTGTCGGTTGTTACATACATTCACTCCGTTTTGGTCTGTTTACCTGTCTCCTCCTATGCTTAGGTTTAACCCTTTTAGGCTCAAGGTAACGGTCTGCTGTTACCACTGCGAATATCCACAGCATAACGATTCATCGTTATCGTCTTGTCTGTTTTTCAAAGCGTTCTTTTCGTTTCGTTTCTCCCTTGTCGAAACTATTTGATTCTGTTATATTACAGAGCGGATTCTCTCTGCGTAGTATCACGAGAAACAAATGTTCCATGAAATCTTACAGATCTCATGGTTTCGTTGATATAAATCACACCTACATTTAACAGTCAATTTTTCAAGCCTTTAAACGATAGTTTCACACAGCGTTCAATTACTAAAATCATTTGTAACAATGTTGTAATTATTTAACTAACCATTTTTATTGTTACTACAAAAATTTCACTTGTATCACTTTGCTGAAAAAGGAATTAATTTTATGTGGCTCAAGGCAATGACAACATAGAAAATCTCAGGATTAAATATAATGGAATATTACAATATAGTAATATAAAATCTGTACCCAAACTCTATCTTACCAAATGATTAAGATAATTCAACGAAATGAAGGATAAATGCATACGAATAACAAATAATTGATATTTTTTAACAAAGAGATTGGTTTTTAAACTACTAACGATTTATATTCGTTTTGTTACTGTTATTATTACATTCCACTGTATCGTTGTTCAAATTTAAAATAACATATACTATCCTTAAAAAATTTGACTGCTTATTACTTTCATCTAATGTATTACTATTATACAATTCATCCTAAGAACATCACATTCGTCATCCGTGATGCAAACATGCATTTATACACTGGCAGCAATTGTCCATTGTTCTCCCTAAAACTATTTATACATAATTCTGACTTATCTCAATGACCCAGGTCTAGTAACCCCATTGTTGTCGCCACACTGGATATTTTCATGCAAAATAAGAAATNTTTAAAAGAATGTAGCAGTATTTAAAAATTTTTCCAATTACTTATCATGTTAGTAATATCTTTCCGGTTTACTTATTATATTAGTATAACCACTCCCTTTAATGATAAATAATGATAAACAATATTATTTGAGTAATATAGTGAACAGTTATCATTAAAATTTAATAAACAGAAGACATTATTTATCGGTCAATTACGACTTTATGGTTACAGATTATATTAAAACTACTAGGAAGGATTCTTTTCACATTTTTAAATTTATGTAAGGATTATAATAATAATAATAATAACAATAGTAATCCTTCATTTTCAGCCTTATAACCAAGAAAATGATTTTACAAATGTCACTTAAACCCATTGATTCTTCTCATACACATATTCCATGGTCTGTATTGTAAGAATTATAATTTTTGTTATTCATATGTTTACTACCCAATCTACTAAGTAGTTGAAATATATTTGCCGAAACGTGATAACAGTTTTTAATGTCATCATCAACAGTCATCATCTTGCTAATATTGCTAAAACTCCCGGAAAATTCAAGTCCTATTTAATATGTATATAATCTTTTGCATTTTGTTGAAACTTTTTGCAACGGTTTACGGTGTTCTCTATAAAATTCGCACTTTGACCCCGTCCTTGTCTTCGTGGTCGGCTGATAGGAAAATAATAAACCGGGACACAGTGGATAATCCACAAATACGCAAAATTCGAAGAAAATCAGTTGTCAAGATCATAATTTGCGAACACTGTTCTCGGATGTATCAGTTTTAACTATTAGCAGTTGAAACTCTAATTCTGTTAGAAAAGCAAAGACAATCGAGTGTTACGCAAGCCGGTAAGAAAAAAACTGCCACCTCTTTCAGATTAGTGTATCTGCGCATACATCCGCAGGAAAACTGTAGCCATATCTGTATGATGCGTTGTATCTTAAAAAGCTTTCGATACAAATTGCAAGGTCGAATTTACTTCAGTATCTTATGAATGAACATGTAACAAATTATAAATGTTTTCGTAATATCATAATTTTTAAAACAATCGCTATAATTAAGTTCTTTAATCATATATATATACACACACATATATTACCTGCAATATATATAATGTTCTTATGAACATAATTATCAGTCTACAGATTTTTATGCATTCGTGGTATGTGCTAGTTTGTAAAATGCATGAAAACCTGCACTCTGACAAACATTAATTGTTTTGCAATTTTATATTCACCATAAGAAATTTCGTAGTCGACATGCGGGATTTTCCCGTCGAACATGCATAACGATTTGCAGTCCAATGATATTCATTGAAACAAAGTTTAAAGTCTTTAGTAATTTTATTACTTCATCAATAAATAGTTCATTTTATTTACTTTGTTCTTGATTAATTGTAGCAACATGTGTATTTAAAAGTGCTTTCATAATGATTAATACCTCCTATCTGTAAGTAAAGAGTTAAAAAATCAATTAAATTCAATAAAAAGCAGAAAGATGTTTTAATATGTTTATAATATGAAGGTAATCATTCTTGATGCTTAACTTTGTATTTGATAAATTTGTAATTCCTTGAGCCGTCATATGTATATCACGAAGCAGTTATCTTTCAAGGCAACATGTAGGTAATTGACTCAGACTGTTATACATATGCATATTCCGTTACAGTCTTTACGCAGTTATCGTACTTTCAGACGGTTGCGAATTCATTTTCCATGCACTAACCTACTTAATAAAGAACTGTGCGTTCAAAAACTGTTTTTCTCATTCTAGTAAGCTGTATACTGATATCCTGAGACGTGTTGTATAAACGAAGAAGACTCGTTAGAATACTACGCTTAATAACAGTGGCACGATAAATCTCGAAATCACAGAATGATTAAAGTCGATTATTAAAGTAACAATATACGGAAACGTAGGAGAATACCAATGTGCAATTTTCTTGATTTACTCAGATTGACAGTTGCATCGTCGATTGTCTTCTGGGAACCAAGGATTTTCCATGCAATTTGCAACTATACTACGGAATATTGGAAATTGATAATGACAGAGATATATTGAAGTTCCTGGATCGTTATTAAAATAGTATGCTCTTGTGTTTGCAATCGTGTTTCTCAACATTCATTTACATTTTATAATTATCTGTTTCTTTCCACTGCTTAAATGCGTTATCGATTGATTAATGATCGACCTAGGATATTTATTCAATTTCCTGTTTCCGCAAAACGATCTTCTCAAAGGCAACGACGTATATTATATTCAGTCACGCGTAAAAATTGCAATTGCAGTGTAACAGGCTCCATTATGGTTCGCTGAAATATGAACGCTAATGATTCGCAGACGTTAATGATGGGTACAGTGGCTTACGAAAGTGTTCGGAAAACGGAATAAGCTTTTTGAAATTGCACCAAAAGATTTGTATTTTTTTCAGACGTTAGAGGGACTAACTGAACAAAATTTGATTTAATAATTGCAATTGGTTGGAATGACAGAAAAAGTAAAAAACTCATGCTTTTTAAATTTTGTATCTGATCGTGGACCGAGTATTTAATCGATGTGTTTCGTTGATTTCTGTGTCTTAGATGCACGTTACATGATAACAAAAACATGAAATAATGTTTTTCTTCTTTTCAACTGTTTCATCTTAGCTGAGATCTGCAGAATTCGTTGTTTACATTTTCGTTACAGACACAGATAAAAAAGTTAAAGAAACGTGTGTATTTTGTTTGCTTTGTAATTCTAAGTAATTGAAGTTTAAAAAAGAAACTTTTCATAGGCATCGTCTAGTAAACTATTTCTTCCAAAATCTGCAATAAATTTCGTGCGATTTTGAAAAAAGTGATTCTATTTTAAGAAGTGTTCGAACGCTTACGTAAGCCACGGTGTACATATAAAGTGACATTGTAGAGAACAGTGAAATTTAATTTTAGAGAGATAATAACTTGTTATGTGTTACATATGGTTGTCGTATGTGATTCAAGCGAGAGTTTCCCACTATTATTTCGTCACCTATATACTTACAATTGCAGAATTACAAAACGAGACATTCCGTTGATGAAAATGAGTACGCACCCATGGAGCTGATTATTTCTGTACACAGAACGCGGGAGTGCTGTACGCTGTCGCGATATGAATATCAGGGAATGCAATTTCCTCGAATTAATTCGCATCGTTAGACGAAAATCCGCACGGTATCACTGTCGGATCGTCGCTCGGATAAGCACACTGGTCTCTCGACAGATCAGAAATTCAGAGGTCAATGGGCACACCAGCGTACGAGCCATCGTTCTCGACAGTTGGGAAAGTCAGTCGAGTTTCGCAATTTGGAGACTGAGATTGGCCAAGCAAAAAAAGCTGTAAAGAAATTGTCGGAGTTCCCGTTCACTGAACGCTAATAAATTCGATTTCATTTTATTACTGTCTTGTTCCGCATTTTTTTACACCGGAAATGACAGTTATTTGAAAAATTCTGTTGACAAAAAATCAGTAACAATATTAGGTTTTATTCGGTTTTTATTAAAAGACATAATTATAATAAAATATAAACTTTATTGTAATGCTTTATCACTAAACCTACTGATCATTAAGAACGACTAATGCGTGTTGCTCTGTAAAAATAAGATTTAATGTCTTCGTTATTTTTATAATAATGGATGTTTGAATTATTAAATTGGTTAAATTATTTGTTACCAGAGAGTCTCTGTAATTCGAGTATTTTTTAAATGAAACATGTGATACCGGTCATTCTTTATCATTCAAGTTGGAGCTATTAATCGGGGAATACAACAGAATTTGTTGAAAAGCTTACATGATCGATGGTTTCAATTTTTTATTGCAAACAACAATTACAATTGAGTAAGACATTTTTTCGTTGCCAATAATGATCGATGACGGAAATTCTATTTTGGTCATTTATAATAATTTTTAT